AGAATGTTCTTTAAGTTGAAAAGATACCTTAAAGGTTTTTTTAAAAACAGGGATATAAAAAAACAAAACAAAAAACAGGGATATGTATTTTGACATTTTCTGATGGGGTGTACATTTGTGGAGACTTCTACTTTAGAAAAAATACAACCTTTACAAAAAAGGACATCATGGTTGATAAAATAGGGGATCAGAGAAAACAGAAACTCTTGATGAGACAGATTGATATAATAGTCAAAACAACGGAATCACATATGTCAACTATAATGAAAATATCACAGGACCAGGCAACCTTTTGTTTTCATATATAAGGTTATCATAAGTCAGACCAATTAGATAGCAACCAGAAACAAACTTTAATATGAAAAGAATATTCATTTGATAATTTAGGTGTTCCTAAACGAGTTATCATTAGGCCACTGCCATCCAGTGTATTTGACACTTAGAACCCTTAGAGGACAGAATACGCTTTCCGGGCTACAATTCCTTACAATAGCAAGCATCCTCATGCTCCTTCTGTGAAGCAGCTGGTGATTTCAAACTGCCCACCTTGTGGTTAACAGCCTAATGCATAACCCCACTACATCTGGGCTCCTTAAAAAGTTATCATTCATGTACTCTCCACAGCCATAGCTGCTGACTGGTAGGAACCCTATAAGATAGGGTAGAACTATACCTGTGACTGTCTGAGATTATAAGCTCTTTATGAGAGTAGCAAGCCATCTTTTTCTTGTGGACCACCTGGTGGTTTTGAACTGCTGACCATGTGGATAGCAGCTCAACTTGCAACCACTACACTATCAGGGCAGCTTCAAACCTAGTCTTACAGGTGAAGTTATGTTTTACAACAATAGCATGATCCTCTAATCTCTATTTTGGATTCGTTTCCAAGACAAAATTATTAGAGCTGTGACCTCTTGGACTGAGGTAATCACTTTCCTGAAGTCATGCATTTTGAGATAATTGGCTATTTAATTTCCTCTTTTTCTTTATATAATATTTCTTTAATTATTAAATTAAGAAATGCATTGATTACTTACTACATATAGAATCTGTATTAGATGCCATTATGGATTCAAAAGAAAATTCTGCTTACAAAATTTAAAAGTGTCATTTTTTGGTCACTTGCTAATTTTTTAAGATAATGAAAATAGAAAAATATCCCACTTTAGGTTTTTGCTAGATTGTAAGTCCCTTGAGGATTCTAACTACTTCTATATAAATAAATATTTTCATTGTGAACAGTTTGAAAATTGGGATACAATTTTTGGACTACTTTCATGGAACAAGATAGAGGTTATTTTGTGTGAGGTTAAGTCAAAAGTATTGTTATGAAATCATAGCAATATTTATTAAAATTATGAAAATATAAAGCTATTGTTTCTTGATGTATCTTCTATCTGATGTATACATTTCTGAAGGTGGTGTTACTATTTCTTTAACCTGTCCCCAAAGAATTTTCAATGTTTACCACCAGGTTAGAATGGCTGATTTTTAGTTTTCTAGTAAAACTCAAATTGTGTTCTTTTTCCTTATTCTTTAAGGTGGAGGAACAAAAAGAAGTCTGTCACCCCACTCTTATGATCTCAGTTCTACCTTAGAAATCCAGCTAGACCGGAGCATGTACACTGGTCCAGATAATACCTCTTGACACATGGAATCCAGGACAGATAAACCCCTCAGGAATAATAATGGGAGTAGTGATACTATGAGGGTAGGGAGAAGGTGTGGAGAGAAAGGGGGAACTGATATCAATGATCAACACATAAGATATGTAAGAT